AAGGAGTGAAAGCCCAGAATCCCTGTGAATGTTCCTTGAAACTAATAAAATTTAATAATAATAAAAAAAAGAAAGAAAAAATTGAAGAAACAAAACAAAAAAAAAAGTTGCAAATAGAAATACCACTGCAAGTAGAAATACCATTTGACTCAGCAATTTCAATACTGGGAATATACCCTACAGAAACCATAACTGCCACCCAAGCAGATATATGTACACCCATGTTTATTGCAGTTTGTTGCACAATAGCAAAGAGGTGGAAACAACCTAAGTGCAAGGAGAGACCAGTGCTTGGGAGGGTGAAGGGACAGAGAAAGAGAGAAAGATCATCGATGAGATGGATTGATACAGTGATGGGTGTGATGAAGGTAGGTGTGTCAGAGACAAAAAAGCTCGCACAGGATGGAGCAGGTTTCAGGGCTGTTGTACGTACATAAGGTCGCTATCATTCTCACATGACTCAATGACACATAACAACAACAACAACATGGCAATCTAGATCAGAAAATAATGTTAATCAACATAAATTACTCTGTGTACATATATGTATACGAATATGTATGTGTATACATATATATACACTTAATTGATTTTCTATTATATTAAATCAGTATTTTAGCCACTAGATCAACATTTTTTGAAAAATCAACATTATTAATCATAACTTTCGGAATTATTTAGAGATTTGTAACATTTTGTTCATCTGTGAATATAATTTGAAATAATATTTTGGGGGAATATTGAGAAGCTTAGAATAATAAACACGCTTCAGAATTTTTCCCAGATCATTTATCAAAAAATTCTATCAATTAGCAGATTGTTCCATTCTTAAAGGAAAAAATTAACAATTAAGTCTGGTTGTATGTATCAGTGTCAAGATTTAATCAAGCTCAGACAAATAGACCTAAACCTTCACCTAACTATGTATCAATTACTTAAAAACAAATTATTACTCAAAAAAACCCTAAGCAGTTTTTCATTGAATTAGTTAAAGCATAACACTTGTTGCTTTGGGAAAATCAGCTGCTAATGAGCTCTCTCTAAAGTGCTAAGGAACAATGCTATCAGTTTAAAGACATATCAATGGAGTAGCTAAGTTAACAAATAAAGGGCTAGACTCAAAGTTCACAGCCAACAGCACAACTTTGAATGTGTGTTGCTCTCAATGCTGCTGTTGTTGTGTGCTGTAGATTTGGAACAGACCCATTGCTGACCCTCCCGCAGGTTTTCAGAGATAGTTAATTGCATGAGAGAAGAATGCCCTACCTTCTTCCATGGAATAGCTGCTGGAGTCAAACTATATGCCTTTGGAATTGCAGTACAGCTTCTTACCACTAGTCCACCAGAGCTCTTACTGTTATTAGTTCTAACAATCACACAGTCCCACAACTTAAGGTTCCACAGTTTATTTACTATTTCTCTTCCTCCATTCTCCCATTACAGGGCCTTTTTTTCACATTCTGTTTAGCATTCTGGATCACTTAAATTTTAGAAATTCAAGTCTGATCCAATTTTGGTCTGCTATCTATGACTGAACTGATTCAAACCAGTTCAAAGACCTGGTAAAAATCCAATATTGCTTCATTTTATCATGGCAGTTCATAATAATTTCTTCCTCCCTGGGTGTCTATGAACTTTGAGAAACAATGATAGCTATAGTTACAAAAAGGCTTCAGGTCTTTTGTTCACAGGGTCGCTATGAGTCATGCTCGAGTTGACAGCAACGAACAACAACAATTATAAAAATGAGAATTTCATTATGTTTAATGATACCACTATAAAGTTTTCCATTTTACAATATGCTTTTATGTTTTTCATGTTAGCCATTTAAATTAAAGGAGATGGACTTTTAACTTAGTGTTAAATATTGACTTTTTAAATACTTCTAACTGAAATAATTCCACTTACAAGAAATTTACAATGCACTGCAGTACAGAGAATACCTGTTACACTCTCCAGCTGTTAACATTTTACTATTTTTGCACCTTCCTTCCTACAGTCACTCCGACACAAACACACACACATACACTCAAATACCTAATAGTCTTTCTTCCTTGACAACTATTTGAGAGCAAGCTGAATATACAATGTTCAGTTGTTCCTAACATTTCAGCATATATTTCCCGAAAACAAGTATGTTGGCCAAGACAACCACCAAACAGCTTCTGACCACATTAATTATCTAAACCTGAAAACAACATTGATACACCACCACTTGATAATCTGCCAATTATAGTCACATTTTGCCATGTGTATCAACAATGTCACTTTTTCACATGTGGTCCAGGATCCAATCCAGGAACATTGGTATAGTTAGCTGTCATATCTATTCAGGCTCCTTCAACTTGGAACTGTTCTTCAGTTTTTCTCTGCCTTTTGTTCACTCACAGTTCTATAGAATTCAGATCTTTTATTCTATAAAATGTCTCCAATCTAGGCCTCTAGTAAAGTCCTCATAGCAACATTCACACCATGAATTCTAAGTGGGTACACTTCTGAAATGATTCAGTTTCATGGTGTAACAGTCAACAACATCTAGTGTCAATCTGTCCCGCCACCTGGGCAAGGTGGTAGGCACTATGAAAATAGCATTGTATTTGTAGGAGAAATTCTGAGATTATAGTAACCTCCTGCTTCTTATAATCTCACCAGTGTTAATATCTTTTTCATTGTGACAGCTGCCAAATGATTATTTTTTTCCAAAATTTGTTTTGTATTTATTAGTTAAGTACGTTAACTAATGACAAGTTTTTCCCTCTCTCTCTGATGTATTTATTTATTCATGGGTTCCTATCTTATTCACAGTATTATAATCAATAATTATAATTATTTTTTGATGCTCAAATTGTTCTAGATTTGGGGAAAGAGGAGCCACTTTTGAGTTGACTCCTGTGTCATGGTGACAGGTTATTTGTTGAACATTTCCTTACTTTCTGTACAAGAAATCCAAGGCCCATCTTGTATATGCCCTGCCCTAAACCTTAGATTAAATCTTCTTTCAACGAATTCAATTCATTTCAGAGTAGCACAGCACTTAGAAAAAGAATATCCATCCAAGTACTTGATTACAATCATTGTTACTAGGGTGTCATTGTTATCAGATCCTTCCAAGAGGTAGAAAATGTGTATGAATGCATGTGTATGTGTACCTACTTTCTATATGTATGTTTTTTCTTTTTACTACTCCTATATGTACATACATTTATATATTATAGATCTCATGAACATATTGAAATTTCTATTTTTCAGTGTCTGTGAAACATCTATCTCTTTATACATACTTTTTATTTTTATTAATTTTAATAAACATTTACAGAGATTTTGGATTTCCATTCATTCACTGCTGCACTTTTCTCCCTGTCCACCCCTCCCCACCAGTTCGCTCCTCTCTTTGAAAAGAAAAAAAAATTCCTTCATTGGTATACAACTCCTCCATCCCCCCACCCCCACACCGAGTACACTTCTCTGCAATATATGATTATGTATACGTATTTCTTAAAAACAAAACATGCCATTATTTCTAATTGCTACCCAACAACTCAGTATTCTTTGTTTTTTCTCTTTCAATGTTTATAAATCTGTCTTCCAATAAAAAGATCAATCTCATCCACAATATTGTCATTTATTTGTTCAACTGTTTCCTCATTTGTTCAATGTAACCAATCTCCCTACCACATCAGCTATCTCTGTGCTCATGCTCAATCACTATTTCCTTATCACTGGAACTAGAGAAAGAAGAGATAGGAACATGAGAAGGGATAGGAAAGAAGAAAAGAAAAAAGGGCTGTAAAAGGAATTCAGATACTCACTTTTTAAAGTCTCTTTTATTTTAGTTAAGGTTTACAAAGAGATTGGTTTCATTCATGCATGCATACTTTTCCTTCATCCTCACCCAATTCTCCTTGTAAGGCTATTAACTGTCATACAAATGATCTCTCATCATTCATTCCTTTCAGGTGGTTCTACTTTTCACCCACTGAATGGAAAGAGAAACTATGGTACATTCTACACAATGAAAAGCTATGGAGCATTGAAAATAATGAATTAGTAAAACACTACACAATGTGAATGAGTCTCAAAGACATTACACTGAGTGAAATAGTAAGCCACTATTATAATAATAGGATCAAGAAGGGGTCAGGCAGGAATTTGAGAGAAGAGTTGGCAAAGAATGAAGATTCTTACTTTCAAAACACCTTCCACAGCCATCTTTCCTTCATGTCCTAGCAATATCGTATATGGGTAAAGCCATTGGATTGCATGTTTGATTGACATCATAGGAAAGGAATCCTAATAAAAAGCAAAACCATATGAGGAAAATTACAATAATCAGAAGACATTTTCTCTGAAATTCCCATATTAAAATATCCTTATTAAAATATTAAAATACCCTTCTGAAAAATAACCAATAGGTTTCTGAAATTTTCCATAAGTCTACAGAAACAAATGTTGGTTCTTTTTCCTTCATGCTCCACTTCTTTCCCTGGACACTCTTACTTATTTCCCGTTTTCAGCTACTATCCATGTAGTGATAGACCTCACCTCTCTGTTTCTAATTATGATTTTTCTACTCATACCCAAATATCATCATATCCTTTTTAACTCCAAATCTGAATTAATTTCATCTACATTCACCACATCTCACAATCACAAAGTTAAAAAGGTTGATTAGACTAAAATATATCCCTAAATCTAATTACTCTCTTTCATCTGTTCATTCTCCTACAAAGAGAATAATGGTAGCGAAAAGTAGGGAAACTTTAATATGAACTATCTACTAGCTCATATAGTGGAAGTACTGTTGATATTCTGTGGAATATGATAATGAACTTCTTATTATGTAAAATAATGTCCTAATTCTCAAATGATGCATTGTAAGATATTTAAGGGTGGAGAATGCAATTTATTATCAAAAGGCTCTGGAGGGAAGGGGCAGAAAGAGAGCAAATGTGGCAACAAGCAATAATTGGTGGCTGTGGGTAAAGTGAGTTATGGTCATCTTTTTCAGAAGACCACACTAGCATGTTGTGCTGCTCGCTAGAAGACATCCTTGAACTCCTGGAGTCTCTTCAACAGGCCAGATAATGTCTAGGTAGTAAGCCCCATGTGGTGACCATTATTCAGTGTTATTCTCTATGAAAGCTTTGAACCCCTTTCTTCAAGTTTAGACAATTCTGAGTATAATTTACACTGCAGTATATTTCTACATGATCAGGCTAAGATCTTTGGAATCTGAGATTACATATATGCCTCACACACATATCAAGTCTGTAAGCTCATAAGGGTTCAAAACATGCCGAGTCTCTGAATAGTATGTTGCTATTTTTGTTATGTGCCATAGAGTCACCTGCAACCCAAAGCTACCCTATGTACAGCAGCTCTGACTTGCCCTGTCCTGAGCCAGTCTCACTAATTCTGACATACCATTGCCCCAGTTACTGTGTCAATCCATTTCATCCAGGGTCATCTTCTCCTGTGCTGTCCTTCCAAGAACTGGTCTCCTGGGCCCATGCCCAAAGTATGTGAGACTGAGCTTCAGAAGCCTAGCCTCCAAGGAGAAACTTGCTTTCACCCTCTCTAAGACAGAATGCTTTGTTTTCTCGGTGGTCCATGGTGTATGTTCAAGACTCTTTTCCAGTACCACAATTTGAAGGCATCGATTCTTCTGTCTCCTTAGTCACTGTCTAGCTCTCTGATGCATAGCAAGGAATTGCGAAGACCATGGCTTGGAACAGGAGCACCTTCGTCTCTAGATCGACACTGTTGCTTTTTAGTACTCTGGAGAGGTCCCTGACAGCAGATTTTCCCGAGTGCAATTAATCTTTTGATTTCCTGACTGCTGGTTTCAAGAGTGTTGACTATAGAGCCAAGCAAACTGAAGCTGTTTACTCATCGTTATCCTGTGTTGTTGATTGCCTTGAGCCAAGCATTATAGCGAGCCTATGAACAAAAGGCCTGAAGCCCCTCTACAACTTTATCAAAGTTCACAGTTTCTGGAGGCATATTGTTTAGGAAGTGGTATGAAAATCTCAGCTCCCCTGTATTAAGTTTCAACAATTCTGAGTATAATTTACACTGAAGAATATTTCTACAGGATCAGGTTAAAGCCTTTCTCCTCTCTTTGGAATCTGAGATTGCATATTTGCCTGTCACACACCTCCCAACTCTATAAACACATAAGGTTTCAAAACATGCCCTGGGTCTCTGAATAGTATACTGCACTTTACAGCAAATTCATCTCAGGCTTTGCACCATTTTCAGAGAATAAGACAAAGTAAGCTGAAATGATTACTCATCAATGATTATTTTTCATATGTTCTTTTGGTGTATTTGTATATTTCAGCCATTAGTTTATTTTATACATACCAGGATTTGAACAGCAGCTGGTAAACTATCTAAAGGAAAATCTGGAAGTCCAAGAGTGGAAGATTCTTGGGAACATAGGGTAGTGGCAAAGGACAATAGCTGAGAAACCCTAAAGAGAAAAGATATTGCATTTTTATTTTAATAGTACTTTTGCTGTTTTTTTTAAAACAGTTTTTGTGTGTTTTCACGAAAATAAATATAACAAGATCTTTAACAAGTTAACAATTCCCAATATATAATTCAATAGCATTGATTTCATCCTTAATGTTTTGTAATTTTTATTGCCATCTTTTTCCATGTTATTCCACCACTATTAACATAACTTCAATGTCCCAAAGCAAAAACTTCCCCTTTGTCATTCTTTCCATTTCTAACAATCACTAATAATCTTTGCTTATTTCATATAACTAAAAGCATATAAAATTTATTTTCTGGTGACAGACTTATTTCACTCAGTATGGTGTTTACATAGTCTCATCTTTACATTTTAGTCCATGAATTTTATCGTTTTCATTTTCACATTTAGGTCTTTGATCCTTCTGAATTGGGTCTTATGTATGATGTGAGGTCTGGCTTCTGATTCATCATTCTGCATGTGAAAATCCAATTTTCCCCAGCACCATTTGTTGAAAAAGACCCCGGGTGACAAGTAGTAAAATTGGCTACTAACCTCAAAGTTGGTAGCTTGAACCCCCCCCGCCGCCGCCCCCAGTAAGTCTGAAGGAGAAAAATGAGGCTGTCTATTTCTATGAAGATTTACCATTTTGGAAACCATATGAGGTAATTCTATTCCATCCTCCAGGGTCACTATGAAGGAAATCAATATAACGGCAGTGCAGGATTTTTGGTTTCTTGAAAAAACTCTTCTTTCCACACTAAATAATTTGGCACCCTGGTTAAAAACTGGTTGCTAATAGTCATGTAGATTTGGTTGTGTATTCTCAATGATATTCCATTGGTGAGTCGCAGGTGACTCAACAGCACATAACAACAACAAACAACAATGTGTTTATCATCAGTATCTGGTATCAGTAGTACCAGGTTATGTGATTCTTAAGGCTTTTTATTATGTTCAGCACAAGAGAGGAAGACCCTCGATGAGAGGGATTGAATCAGTGACTGGGGCAACAGAGGTGACTGGGGCAATAGAGGTAGGTACGTCAGAGACAATAAGATTAGTACAGGATAGAGCAGGATTTAGGGCTGTTGTACCTAGAGTTGCTTTGAATCGCAAGCAACCCATTGGCACATAACAACAACAACTGATCTTTCTTCAAGACTGCTTCAGCTATTTTGGGTGTCCTCGCCCTTCCATTTAGTAGATTTAAAATATATAAATTTGTTTTAAATATACCTAAAATAGAGGGTCAAGGACTGCAGCCTTCCAATATGGATTGAGGCTCACTGTCAAGAAGACAAAGATTCTCACCACTGGAACAATTGGCAGCAACAGGATGGATGGTGAAGAGATTCAGATTGTTCACAGCTTTAGTTTGCTTGACTCCACAGTCAACACTCTTGGCACCAGCAGCCAGGAAATGAAAAGGCACATTGCCACGGGAAAGTCTGCTGTTAGGGACCTCTCCAAAGTACTGAAGAGCAATGGTGTCTCTCTGGAGACTAAGGTGTGTCTCATACAGGCCATGGTCTTCGCAATCACTTGTTATGCATCAGAGAGTTGGACAATGACCAAGGAGGATAGAAGGAGAATTGATGCCTTTGAGCTGTGGTGCTGGAGAAGAGTATTGAGAGTACCATGGGCTGCTAGGAAAACAAACAGATTTGTCCTGGAAAGGGTTAAACTGGGTGGCTCCTTGGAGGCAAGGATTCTGAGGCTTCGTCTAACATACTTTGAACATGCTGTGAGGAGAGACCGGTCCTTGGAGACGGACATCATGCTTGGGAGGGTGGAGGGACAGCGCAGGAGGGGAAGGCCCTCTATGAGGTGGATTGATTCCGTGACTGGGATAATCGGGATGGGAGTGTCAGAGACAGTGCGATTGGCACAGGACAGAGTAGAGTTTAGGGCTGTTGTACATAGGGTCTCTATGAGTTGCAAGCGACTTGACGGCCCACAACAACAACAACATTATTAAAATCCTAAGAAACAACAGTTCTGTTTCATATTAACCTCACTTAAAATCCAGAAACGTATTCAATATCTGGGTATGTTTTCTAAATATGTCAAAATTTGTGAAGTTTCTCATAATCTAGCTAAGTTCTCCATTGTCAGCCTTATGTCCTAGCTCTCCAAATCCTAAACAAAAACTTGAAGAACTTAAAGTACTAGGAGCTTTTTATTGCTTTACCAATAAGCTATATATAAATGTTCATGTCCCAGGCCTTTATAAAAAGCTCTCCCTGTTATTTGAATGTAATGAGTTAACTTACCAACTCATGGTCCACTCATGACTATCTTATAAACAAGTTGAAATCTTGTCTTATTCTGTGTCATTCTCACAACTTCTACCACGCTCAAATTCACTGTTACAAGTCACTGTGTCAATCCACTGCACTGAAGATCTTTTTCTTTTTCCAGTGTGAGGCCATTTCCCCAAGAACTGACCCTTCCTGTCACTGCCCAAAGTATGTGAGACAACAATTCACCATCCTTGCCTCTAAGGAATACTACCATTGCCCTACCTCTGAGAGTTCTTTGCTTTTTTGGAAGTCTATGGTATAGTCATCGATACTCATTGACTATACCACACTCATCGACAATCCCACAATTCAAAGGTATCAATTTTTCTTCAGTCTCCCTTATTCACTGTCCAACTTTCAATTATAAATGAAGCAACTGAAAATATTGTAGCTTAAGTCAGTTGCCCCTTAGTCTTTGAACCTTGACCTTTGTTCTTTAGCACTTAAAGGTGTCCTGAATAGCAGGCTAGCCCAAAGCAGTAAGTCCTCTGATTTGTTCATCTTCTTTTTTAAGTCTTCTGATTTCTTGACTGCTATTACCATGGAGTAAGTGGATCTCTTCCAGTCAGTATGCCAGGTGACTGTCTTCCAAATTTCTTGGTATAGACTAGTGAGCAAACCTTGCACTGCATCTGTTTATTGAAAGACCTCAATTGGTATTACATCAACTCTTTGAACCTTATAATTTGGAATGCCTTCAGTGAAGCTTGAACTTCTTCCTTTCTTGGCATTGGTTCTTGATCATGTGCTAAGTCCTGAAATGGTTCGGTGCAAACCAATGTTTTTTGGTACAGTGACTGTGTGTTTCTTCCATCTTCCTTTGATGTTTCCTGCATCATTCAAGATTTTTATCCATAGAATCGTTTAGTACTGCAACTTGAAGCTTGAATTTTTCAGTTCTTTCAACTTAAGAAACGCTAAGAAAGCTCTTCCCCCTTAGTTTTCTAACTCTATGTATATTTCAACTTCAAGTTGCAGTACTAAACTTATACTTTGTTGCTGCCATTTGAAATCTTCTGTTCACCTCTTTTTGGCCTCCCTATGTTCTACTGCAATTCTTAGTGCCTTCTGACTGACATCCATTTTGGCGTGGGGTTTGTTTTGTTTTGTTTTTCACTCTTGTCTTTGTAATGATAATTTGTTTTATTTATGGATAATAACCTTGATTGTTGTTGTGAAGCGGCATCGAGTCGCAGGTGACTCATAGCGACCCTATGAAGAGTCCTCGATGCTGTGGTGCCTTTCAACTTCTCTCCAGGTTCATAGGGTTTCTGGAGGCAAACTATTATGGAAGTGGATGCTACTCCTCCTTCTAAGAATAACCTTGATACTACATCACAATTCATCCAGTCTATTCTTGAAATAGTTCAATGCATCAAATCTATTCTTGAGATGATTTTTGGATTCAGGTGAGACAGATTCAAGGTCATATTGTGGTTATCATGAACTTCTTTTCCTTTTCTTCAATTTGAATCTCATCTTGCACATGAGTTGATGATCTGTTACACAGTCCGTCCCTGGCCTTGTTTGTTATTGATGTTGTTAGGTGCCACTGAGTTGACTATGACTCAACTAGGAACAACAGATCTGAATCTTCCACTAACCTGCACCATCCTCACAATCTCTATCATGCCCAAGCCAGTTATGCAGCACCTGTGTCAATCCATCAGGTTGAGGGTCTTCCTCTCTTTCTCTGACCCTCCACATTATCCAGCATGATTTCACTCTCCAAGGATTGGTTCCTCCTGAGAATATGCCCAAAGTAAGTGAGATAAAATTTCATCATGCTTGTCACTAAGGGACACTTTGATTGCACTTACTTCAATACACATTTGTTTATTCTTCAGGCAATCCACAGGATATTCAATACTTTTCCCAACACCACAATTCAAAGGCATCAATTCTTCTTTGGTCTTCTTTATTCATTATCCAACTTTCAGATGCATAGGAAGCAGTTGAAAAAGTAAGGGCTTGAATCAGGTATGTTGTTGTCTGATACCGTCGAGTTGTAGACAACTCATAGTGACCCTATGAATGAACGGCCTGAGCACTGTTCGTACATAGAGTTTCCGGAAGCAAGCCATTTCGGAAGTGGATGCCACTCCCGCTTCCAGTGAATCAGGTATACCTTAGTCTATAAACAGACTTCCTTGCTTTTTTGTATTTTGGAGACGTCCTTAACAGCAGTTTTTCCCAATGTAAGACATCTTTTGATTTGCTGACTATTGCTACCATGAGTATTGACTATAGATCCAAGTAAAAATTAAATCATTGACAACTGGAATCTTTTCGTTATCTGTTATGATGATATCTATTAGTGCAGTGGTTAAGATTTTTTTGTTTTACTGATGTTGAAGTGTAACCCACATTGAAGGCTGTAGTCTTTAGCCTTATTTAGACTTGTTAATATTGAGCTTCTCCATCAACTCCACAAATGTAGTCCATCTGATTCCTGTGTAGTACATCAGAAGAGGTCCATGGGTAGAGCCACCATTTGTGTTTTAAAAAAAGATATTTGCAATGAATAAATCATTGATTGCACAAAATTCAATTATTCAATCTCTAACAAAATGTGGAAACTATAAAAAAATATAATTAATATCACATGCTAGTAAAATATTGCTGAATATTATTAATGGCCGGAGCAGTACACCAACAGAAAACTGCCACAAATGAAATGTGCAAACATTTGCAGTTAGAAAACCAAAAGAGGAGAATACACTTATCATTTCTCAAGCTGAAAGAATTGAAGAATAAGCTCAAGCTTTGAATAGCAATAGTGAAGGATTCTATAAAAAAATTAATGAATGATACAAGAAGTATTAAGGGAAGATGGAAAGAATACACAGAATCACATACTATGAAGTAATTGGTTACTAATAAACCTTTTCATAAAGTAGCTTATGATCAAGAACCAATGTTAAAAGAAGAAGTCCAGCCACATAGAAGGCATTGGTAAATAAAGCAGAATATTTTTATGTTGTTGTAATTAAATACTTTATCTGGAAAAATCTTCATTCTTTAGAAATAATCTCAAGTGTTTTTGTGAAACCCTTATAAAGTCTCAACAAGCAACCAAAACTTGGAAACGATGAGTGTTTTATATTGTTTTATACTAAAGTATTAACTTTATCTTTCAACTGTACTACTAAATCTTAGATTTCTTGCTGTCAAAGATACCTTATTAATCCTATCACAAGAATTTGCTCAAGATCCTAATTCTGAAAAATTCTTCAAAGAACAGTTGTTGAATGAATAAATGGGTAAAACAAACTCAAAGTAAGAGTACAGATATTTATAATAAATGAAGCTGGTATACTTACTTCTCAGCAGGAACATTGGCTCCCACAGAATATAGCAGCTTAATTTGGTCCTAAAATAACAAAAATACATCAAATGGGTTAATAAATAAGATAAGAGATGCTATAAAGGTATGATTGAACCTTTTAATTCAACAGATACAGTGGTCACAACAATGGCCCAAACACAGCAATGACTACAAGGACCAGAAAGTGTAAACAGGGAGGGACCCAATTCTGGTAATTAAGAAGTCAGATTTTAAAAAATTCTTTCTTGATATATGGCAGTCTCTAAATCAAAAGGCAACTTAAAAGCAAACAAACAACCAAAAAAAAGAAACCACCTTGCTGACTACTAATTTTTCTTCTTTGTTTCCAAAGGTTTTCTTTATTTCCACTATTAAGATAGAATATTTTTAAAATAAAGTGATATTTTAAAAACAACACAATTGCTCATTACAATTAGAATAATAGGGTGGTATTTTGGTGGTTTTGGGGTTTTTTTAATTTTTATTTTATTATTTTTATGTGTGTGTACCGTCAAATCAGATCTGACTGGTTCAGGAGGAGATTGTCCCTCCTTCCTCGGCAGAGCATTGTTTTTTGTTTTGTTTTGTTTTTTAAATCAATTCGACTTCTTCCTACTTACCCTAAAGGGTAGATAATAAATATCTCTGGCTTGAAATCGAGAACGGAGAGGGGGATCTAAGGGATTTCCAGCATACTTGGGTACTGGCAAGCCCAAGGCGATCACGCGGAAATTTTCACTAACACGCACAATCTTCCAAGCATCCAATTCTGTTTTAGTATGATCCTAAAAAAGTACAAGACATCCACATTACAGTACAAATAATACAGATAAACTGTGAAAGCAACCAGTCTAAGTTCCATCTAAGGCTAACCCAATCTCTGTGCCTCTCTGGTACTTCAAACCCCTCAGTGACTCCTTGGTAGGAAGACAATCTCCTCCCATGTGATTTAGAATCTCAGGAATCCACATAAGGATGAGCTAGGAGATGCTTTTGATTCAAAGGCAATGAAGGTTTGGGTTTTTTAAAATTATATCTGAATGGTATCCTCTTTATCGATCTCCTAAAGACAATTACTGTGCAATAAAAATATCATTTAGAAACTCCCCAAAAACAGTAAAGAAACAAATTGGTAAAAGGCTGGATAAAAAATATGTGCACCACAGGACTCAAAAAGACATACTATGACTCTGCCAGCCAAGGAATATAATTTCAGTAAGCCCTTCTGGTGTCATTTATCATTTAGTGTCTAGTATTATGAATAGTGTTCTTTTATCAGTACCCTGAGAGGAATTCTGAAGCCTAGCACATAGATCTTCTGCTTAAAACTTGCAACCAATTTAGGGAACTAAAATTAGCACTTATACTTCTCCAAAGAGTAATGTGAGAGAGAACCAATCAGAGAATTTAGAGGCAAAGCAATCAATGAATGAATGCCGGAAAAGTCAGAGAGTGTTCCAGAGGGGGTAAAGTTTAAGCTGAATAAACAAAGGCTGACTATCTTCCTTTCATTTGAAAATATACAGGAGCTCCTGTTTTTTGAAGAATATCATATTCTCTCATCACTGTTTTCTTTATAGATACTTGTATCACATTTTCTTGCACTTACCATTCAAGAAATAGTGAGCACCTACCACATAGCAGGCATTATTCTAGGAGCCTGCGATAACTGCAGTGACAAAAGCTTCTACCCTTGTAAAATTTATATTCTAGTAGAGGGTCAAACTCTGGTGGCCTAGTGGTAAGAAGCTGTGCTGCAATCCTGAAGGCACAAAGTTCAAATCCACCAGCTGCCCTGTAGGAGAATATGGGTAATCTCCTCCCAAGTGAGGTAATTGTGTCTGAAAATCCACTACAAGGACAGCCACAGGTTGGTTCTGACTTGATGGTACTTAAACAGAACAAGAGAGTGTAAAATTGGACACTGTATCTGCAATACCTAGCATTGTCTAGCAGCTATTAGGCTTTTAATAAATAGTTGTTGAAACAAAGAAGAGTAGAGAAAAAAAGACATAAGAAAGTAGAGGGAAAGGGGGGGGAAGGAGAAGAGCTGGAAAGAGAGGGGGGAAAAGGACATTAAAACCCTAGAAGTATACAATGTGATCTACAAACAGAAGAGCCTAGAAAACTGCAAACTCCTAACTGTAAAGTCAGCAATTTGCCAGAGAAGAGTTACCCGATCTCAGTCCTCATTCAGATAGAACCACATTTTACACAGCAAAATGCCACTACACTCAGCTCAACCCTAAGGGCAGTGCAGTTTTTCTTCTCTTACCTTGAGAAGTTTGTCGTAACGCTCAGCGGACATCAGGAAGCGCCCATCTTCAAGCTGCATCTCCCTATTTTCCAGCAAGTTGTTCAGAACAGGCAGGACATTCCTCTCTGCCTTTTCCAAACCTTCCAAAACCAGAGTTCTGCCCTTGGTGGCTGCACGAACTGCACACTGTTCCCAAGAAAGACAACAGCAAAATGAGACTAATAAAGATGATGGAGCAGAGACAAATTTTACTTGTAATGAAAATTAAATGTATAGTTCTTATCATAGGAACTACGAATCAGGAAAGTTAGGTCCTATAACTTGATTCCACTTCATTTGCCTATATGACTTTGGGCAAGAGGATTTTAAGCTGTTCTTTCTTTAACATGACGAGATTGAAAGAATAACTACAAAGGGTTTTTTCAAAGGTAGCATTTTAAATTATAAGCCCATTGAGGTAGAAAACAAACAAAGCTACCTTTGAATAGGTAGCAGAATTAAGCAAGGAAACAGATCACTTAACTATAAAAGAAAAATTAAGATGATACCTGCTCCACTGATCCCATGAACATCCTGTGAGGATTAGATAAACTGGATGAGAGTGTTTGGAGACTAAATGGTTTGTAAACAAGAATCACCATCAGAATGAATTTAGGTATAATATGATTTTTAATGTGGACAATATTACATATGTATAAAACAGAAAAGTTTCATGTTTCATATTTGTTTATGAAATTGAGTATAACCATAGTCTTATAAGTATTCCAAATAAAACTTAAAGTTACCAATGTAGAAAATCAGGCCCAAAATGTAAGAGGGAAAAAAATTATAATACAAAAGTTTCTAAGATGTGGAAAAGCACACATGCAACAATAACCTTCAACTGGTAAATTCTGAACAAAATATGTTTAAAAAAAAAATAAAAACAACCAAACTAAAAAACTACTTGTTGGTTAAAATCCATGGGGAAAAAATATTTAACTATTATCCTACTGCATTCAACAAAGGGCAGAGCATGAACACTGCTACATTTATTTTACCTCTCCTTAAAATTCTCCTTTTTTGGGCTATACAATGGTATATTCACTTAGGAAACTTTTTCTTCTGCTTCTCTCTTACAGCAAGTAATTCCCAGAATTAAATTCCTGTTTGCAGCACTTTTTATCATATAAAGTCATCTTAGAATGATGCAGAATAAGTAATGACGGAGAGTAAGTAATCTCATTCAGTCACAAAGTTTGAACCTCCTTGCTAGCAACTTCTCAATTTCAAGGTCGCCTCTATGTTTTAGAATAATGCAATCCAATCAAACAAATGTCCATAACCAAAGTTAATAAGCACTTCCATCCCATTATATTTCCCTCTCCTACCCTACCTACGTGGGAGAACACATTGGATTTCCCTTAAAATACTGTCTTCCTTTTTATCCTTTGCATTTCTCATCCATTCACTTAATCACTGTGTTCTGATGATTGAATCTTATCAATGTTTCTTAAACTTATCCTTTTCTATTTTCCCTCTAGGTGAGGGGCTTCTAATCTGCCGTATCCCTTCATTACCTGAATTTATCAACCTCTCCTTCTGTGAAAACTAGGCCAGGAGCTGATTGTGGAACAGACCACCAAACTACTCATATGCAAATTCAAGCTAAAGCTGAGGAAAATTAAACTAAATCCGAGGCAACCAAAATATGACTTTGAGTCTATCCCACCTGAATTTCAGAACCATCTCAGGAACAGATTTGAG